ATAGTTGAAAAATAATAGTTGAATATAATAATAGTTTTTACCAAGGGAGTCCTGGCACTCTATCACGAGGATAATTAGATCTAGATGGTGATTCTTCATCAACTACAGCAGAAGACTAGATAGTATAACTCCTTACTCTTTGATTGGTTGAGCCTTTAAAAGAAGGAAAAGTTCAACTTGAACTTGCTCAACATTATAGAGACTGTATCTTAGGCACATTAGGAAAACACTGATATTCTCTACAATTGGGCAATGGAAAGCTAAGTAAGGCAAAGGCATGACTTTCAGCACAGCAATACAGAAGATCATTTTATTATAAAACCCTAGGTGATTACAGTAAAATGAATGGGACTATGGGCACAATAACTTCACTGACAAGGCTAAAATATGTTCCAAAATCCAAGACAAGTCCCCAAATCTGGTACCATTTTCCTTCTCTTTTCCTCTTCCTTCTTTCACATGCCGTGCACAGACCTATATAAAAATGTCATAGATTTCCTATCAAAGTATTTTTTTAATTTTAATTTTTTTAAACAATATTTGCTTCTCCCCACCCCCTCAGGTTGAGTCCCCATAGAATTTCCTTCCCCAAGGCATCTGTGCACCAGCACCACCATCTCCTGTTCTCCTCCCTCCCTCTGATGCCTCTTCCTCCTCTCCCTCCTCTCCCTCCTCCTCCTCTTCCTCTGATTTGTAATTGCCTGTTTTTGCTTTGTTGTGTTTTGTACTGTTATTTTTTTTACACTGATGTTTTATTTGATTCCCCTATATTCCTGTTATAAGTGAAACCATTCGATATTTTTCTTTTTCCTTCTGGCTTATTTCACTGAGCATGATTCCTTCTAGCTCCATCCAAGTTGTTGTGAATGGCATGAGTTTATCTTTTTTGATTGCTGAATACTATTGTCCATTGTGAATATATACCACATCTTCTTGATACAGTCATCTATTTTGGGGCATTTGTGTTATTTCCAGGTTTTACCTATTGTAAATATTGCTGCAATAAACATAGGGGTACAGGTGTTCTTTTGAATCAGTGTTTTTGTGTCCTTTGGGTAGATACCTAGGAGTGGAATTGCTGGGTCATATGGTAGCTCCATTTTTAGTAGACTGGGGAACCTCTAGACAGCTTTCCATAGTGGTTGGACCAGTTTGCACTCCCACCAGCAATTAAGGAGAGTTCCTTTTTGACCACATCCTCGCCAACATTTGTTGTTGCTTGTTTTTTGATATATGCCATTCTTACTAGTGTAAGGTGGTATCTCAGTGTGGTTTTGATTTGCATTTCCCTGATTATAAGGGATGTTGAACATTTTTTTCATATGCCTGTTGGCCATTTGCATTTCCTCTTTGGAGAAATGTCTTTTAAGTTCTTCTGCCCATTTCTTGACTGGATTGTTTATTTTGCTTTTGTTGAGCCGTGTGAGTTCTTTGTATGTATATCTTTGTGATCAATCCCTTATCAGTTGAATGAAGTACAAAGATTTTTCCCCATCAGTGAGGTGTCTCTGTTTTGGTTAATGTCTCTTTGGCTGTACAGAAGCTCTTCAGTTTGTTGTAATCCCAAGTGTTTATCTTTGTCTTCACTATCTCTGCTTTGGGTGATGAGTCTTAAAAGATGTTATTGTGATGTGTGTCTTATAGTGTTTTCCCTTTATTTTTTTCTATATATGTTATGGTTTCAGGTCTTATGTCCAGTTCTTTTATCCATTTTGAGTTGATTTTTGTGCACAGTGAGAGGTAGTGGTCTAGTCTCATTTTCTTGCATATGGAGGTGCAGTTTTCCCAGCACCATTTATTGAACAAACTGTCCATGTTCCATTGCATATTCTTTGCTCCTTTGTCAAAGATTAGTTGTTCATATAAGTGTGGCTTTATTTCTGGGCTCTCTATTTGTTTCCATTGGTCTGTGTGTCTATTTTTGTTCCAATACCAAACTGTTTTAATTATTATGGCTTTGTAGTATAGCTTGAAGTTTGGAAGTGTGATACCTCCTTTCTCCTCTGTTTTCATCAGTAGGGCTTTGGCTATTCATGGTTTTTTTGTGGTTCCATATGAATTTCATCAGTATTTGTTCTATTTTTTTTTTTGAAGAATGTCATTGAGATTTTTATTGGAATAGCATTGAATCTGTATATTGCTTTTGGAAGGATGGCCATTTTAATAATGTTAATTCTTCCAATCCATGAGCTGGGGCTGTCTTTCCATTTCTTTGTGTCTTCTTCAATTTCTCTTAACAGTGTTTTATAATTTTCTTTGTATAGGACTTTCACCTCTTTTGTTAGGTTTATTCCCAAGTATTTGATTTTTTTTGTTTCAATTATAAAAGGGATGGTTTTCTTGATTTCTTCTTCTTCAGATTGATTGTTTGTGTATAGGAAGGCTACTGATTTTTGTGTGTTGATTTTGTATCCTGCTACTTTACTGAACTGGTTGATTATTTTGAGTAGTTTTTCTGTGGAGTTTTTAGGGTCTCTATGTATATTATCATATTGTCTGCAAACAGTGACAGTTTTACTTCTTCTTTCCCTATTTGGATTCCTTGTATGTCTTTCTCTTGTCTTATTGCTCTGGCTAGGACCTCCAATATTATATTGAAGAGCAGTGGTGAGAGAGGACATCCTTGTCTTGTTCCTGATCTTAAAGGAAAGGCCTTCAGCCCTTCGCCATTGAGAATAATATTGGCAGTGGGTTTGTCATATATGGCTTTTACCATGTTCAGTTATGCTCCTTCTATCCCAAGAATTTCAAGGACCTTCATCATAATTGGATGTTGGACTTTGTCGAATGCTTTCCCTGCATCTATTGATAAGATCGTATGTTTTTTGTTGTTGTTGTTGTTTATGTGTTGGATTACACTTATTGATTTTCAATTTTCGTATGTTGAACCATCCTTGTGCCCCTGGGATGAATCCCACTTGATCGTGGTGTTGAGGCATAATTGATAGAGACTAAGCAGCTCATACCTCAAGTGTTCAATTTTTTTTAGTTTTGATATATGTGTCTACTTGTGAAAACATCAACATAATTAAGACAATCAACATATCCATTATCCCCAAAGATTTCTTCATAATCACCACCTATTGTAATCCCTCCTTTCCAGACCTTTCAATCTATCCCTAAAGCAACTACTGCTTCTAGTCACAACCAATTACCTTGTATATTCTGAATTCCATATAAATAAAATCAATAAGTATAAATTTAGTTTCTGTTGTAGCATCCATCAATAGCTCATTCCTTTTTAATTATCAAGTAGTATTTATTCTATTGCTTGTTTACCCATTCATGTATAAGTCATGAATCAACATGTTACCATTTATCTTAATATTAAAAAAAAAGTTTATTTAATATTTTTTTTAAAAACTGCCAAACTTTTTTAAAGCAGGGTTTCATTATTTAAATTTCCATTAAAGATACATGAGAGATCCAGATCTTCAATACAGAAGGAATAGTAGGTATGAGAGGTTGACATACCCTAGAAATGGAAAGAAGCCTATTTATTCTTGTTGACTGAAGAAAGTAAATATCTCCTTAGAAGACTGGAGATGCTTCTTTAATTCCTTGTGTGTGTGTGTGTATGTGTGTGTTCTTCCTTATCCCTTAAATCCCTTTATCTTTTTTTCTTTCAGCAAAGTCTTTCTCATATTTTAGGACACGATTTAACCATCTCACAAAGAAGAGTTTTCTGACTATTCATACTTGTCTTCCAGTTAATATAATCACGTCTTTCTTTTCACCCCCTGCTTTGAACCCATCCTCATTATTGCTATCATATGTATTTCTCTTACTTAAATTTGAGTTATTCTAAATGAAAATTATGTCTTATTAATTTTATTTCACCACTTAAAGAATCTGTTATAGTCATGGCTAATGCTACTGCTACTTTCCTTCCTGTTAAAATAGAAATGCAAGTGTTGGGCCTTCCCTGGTGGCGCAGCGGTTGAGCGCTGGGCTGCGAAGCTGCCCGCAGCCTCTACAGTGCCAGTTTGATCCCCGGCCACTGGCGAGGGTCCCACATGGTGCAACAGACCTCTCCTGCCATGCCCGCTGCTCTCCTCAGCAGTGTATTTTGTCGGTCTGCCTGTTCTGTTGCCCACTCTGACTCTGGTGAATTCTCTCACCCTCCCGCTCTTCTGACTGTACCCAGTGCTTATATAAGTAAATAAATAAATCTTAAAAAAAAAAAAAGAAATGCAAGTGTTGTTTCTAGACACCCTCTGCAAAATTATTCATTGGACACATTTGATTACGGACACAATTTTTTTTTGTATTTTTTTTAAATTTTATTTTTATATTCCCCATGCAATTACAACCCCCTTATTTTGACCACAATCCCTCCTTTCCCCACCCTCTAGCCCCCATACAGTGTCTCTGGTTCATAGTTGTTTGTTGATTTTGATATTTTCTTTCTTATAGTTATTCTTTTCCTGGTCCCTTAATTAAGTTTTCTAGATTCCCGCTATGAGTGAGACCATCCGGTATTTTTCTTTTTCTTCCTGCCTTATTTCACTGAGCATGATCCCTTCCAGCTCCATCCATGTTGCTGCAAATTGCATGTGTTTATTTTTTTTGAATGCTGAGTAATATTCCATGGTGTATATGTACCACATCTTCTTGATCCAGTCATCTATTTTTGGGCATTTGGGTTGTTTGATTATGGACACAATATTTTTTAAAAGTTGTTATAATGATAAGACACTGTTAACATTTTGCCAACTTTGCTTTGGTGTTTTTGAACATAATTTAACTAGAAAACTATTGTTAATTTTTGTTTCTGATATATTAATCCCCCCAAAAAAGGTATAGATTTAAAATAGTCTATCCAACAACACTATATGGTTTAATATTCTCTTAATTTTTATCAATCTGTGGTTAATGTTTTTCAATTTCCTTTGATTGTTTCATATCCCCTATCGAAGAGGGAACCTCTCTCTCTCAAAGCCTTCCCTTTTTTGATTGACTCCACCTCCAATGCAGAGCCTTTCTCTTTTTGTGTGGAAGTAAGCTGATTCTCAGAATTCTTAGTGAGCCTCTTCTTCAGGAGAACATTTCTAGGAAATAATACAAGGTTAAGGAATCATAGTGGACAAACTCAGCATGTTGCTACATGACAACTCTGTGACTTCTGGTAAGAGTTTCTCATTTATTCTACACTTGCCTTTATTTTTTTTTAATGAAAAATTTTTAAAAAGATTTATTTATTCATGCATATAAGAACCATGGTACGGAACAGATGTGCAGAAGGGTGAGAGGATTCACCAGAGACAGAGCGGGAAACAGAACAGGCAGACTGACTGAAAAACACACTCCTGAGGGGAGCAGCAGGCGAGACAGGAGAGATCTGCTGCGCCATGTGGGTATCTCTCCGGCCGGCTGGGACTGAACCCGCACTGCAGAGGCTGCGGACAGCTTCAAGCGCTGTGCTCAACCACCTGCGCCACCAGGGAAGCCCTACAATTGCCTTTAAATTAGTATAGCATTATTATGATTGCCACTGAATTGGATTTAAGGGTGATTAACATCAGAAGAGTAAACAGTGGGGAAATGAGCATTAAGTTTATATGGCCATCACTACCTGCCATGGATTCAAAGTTGCAGATGTGAGATAAGGATTCCATTTGATACCAATTTTGTAAAACTGCTGAAATGAAGTTAAGGAACTGAAATGAACTGTATTGAGTGTGAAAACAGTAACTATTAGAAAATAGGGAACATGTAAGAATAGATTGGAAGTTGATCACCTAGAGCAAATTTGGAGTAACACTCCTGAGTGTTGAAATCTGCTCCATAACTTATGTAGGCTTGTTAAACTTATTTTGGCATTTTAACTTTTAATTTAGAATTGGGTTAAAGTAAGGGAAAAAGAAGGAAAAGAAATGAGAATAACAGTAGCTTTAAAGAATGTATTATGCTGTATCTGGAGATAAGATCTAATATGTGGGGTTTTTTTTAAGGATTTTATTTATTTATTTACATAAGCACTGGGTACAGTCAGAAGCGTGGGAGGGTGAGAGAATTCACCAGAGCCAGAGTGGGGAACAGAACAGGCAGACTGACAAAGTACACTGCTGAGGGGCGCAGCGGGCAGCAGGAGAGGTCTGCGTGCGATCTGGGACCCTTGCCCGGCGGCCAGGGATCAAACCGGCACTGCAGAGGCCGCAGGCAGCTTTGCAACCCAGCGATCAACCACCGCACCACTTGGGAGGCCCTAATATGTGGGTTTTTAAAATATAAACATTGTCACTTTGTCCCATTAATGTATTGCTCAGCTACTATTTAGCAGGCATGTAACTGGTGAAACCACAGTGAACATGATAGAAATAATCCTGCCCTCTTGGAATTTACCATCTGATAAGGTGACTCAGATAGATGTGGAGGTGGGGACAAGGTAGTTTGATACTGCCCTGTGCCCTTAGGGAGAGATGTCCACTGCTACATTTCATCAATGCCTTTTCAATTTTCCAGGTTTTAAGATCTGCCCTTGCAGTTCTTTTTCCATTCCCAGCTTTCTTCTAATTTCTCTCCCCTGTTTCCTGTAAGCATGGACATTTGCAAAGCTATTTCAATGAAACTACCTGATCCTGTCTGCTTGCTATTTAGAAGGAAGGGTTTTCTGCCTTGGATTGACTTTCTTTGTTGATCTCAAAGTCTGAAACCATTTATCATCTCCAAAGTTGATTTGCAAAGATGATACTTTTGCCCCCTTTTTTCACAGACTTGAGAAGATATTTTCTCCACTTGAACTCCTTCACCATTGCTGTAATCTCAGTTCTCATCACTAGTTCTCTAGGTGAGTATGGGGTCGAATTTATTTGCAGCTGGAGCTCACTGTGATAAGAATCATTAAAAGTAAATAATTCTTCTGATGGCTAAGTATCATCTAAAAACATGATCCATGGAGACAAAGGATAGGACATTAAAATAAGAACCTAATCATATGACATAAAGACTTTAACAAAGTACTAGTGCAGTTCTACAAAACAAATTTTTTCCACAGGAAAAAAATACGTTTTACTTGAAGTTTGGAAATAATGTCTAACTGAAAAATTGGGACTAATACTGAAGCTAAATCTCAGAATTATTGGGATGAAAGGGAATTTGGGGAGCACTTTAATAAATTCAAATGCCAAAATTTATCTAAAAATGTATTGGGGGGACCACTAGTTTCTGGGTCCGCAAAAATAAAGATAAGGTGCTAGCTGAGACATGGGGTATTGGGAGGGTCAGAACAGATGAGATTTTTTTTTTAGTAGAAGATAATAAGAAAATATCTCCACCTCAATTTCCTCTTAGTAGATAACTTTCAGTCAAGTTTATTCTAGTGTTTTTAAAAATTCATGGCATTTTGCATATATATGTGTAAGGGTGTTAATTTCTTTATAACTAGTCTTTTCATCCTCATCATCAACCTTCTTTCTATTAATCTTAGGATTTTGAAGAAATCATTGCAGCTTGTCCCTATATTTAAATAGTCAACTCTCCATAGAGATGATGTAAATTGACATAAAGAATGTCAGCCATAAAATAAAGATCTCACACTGTATTGTACTCCTTAGCTTTACTGGTTTTATATCATTGCTTAGTTTGAAGACTGTGATATCAGTGTATTTGAATTCCTATGAAATAGCTTTCTTCTGTTGTAATAGGTGGGGCCAGGAATGTTTCTCAAATATGGCTTTGAAAGATAAATGATTGTAAATAATAATAATTCTCTACTTGCTCTTTGGATCTTGACCAATTGCTGCCTTTACCCCCTATTGCAGGAGGAACAGAGAAGGAGCTGAGGCTAGTAGGTGGCGAAGACAAATGTTCTGGAAGAGTGGAAGTGAAAGTCCAGGAGAAATGGGGAACTGTGTGTAATAATGACTGGGACATGAATGAGGTCTCTGTGATTTGCAGGCAGCTGGGATGTCCAACTGTTATCCAGTCCACTGAGTGGACTAATTCCAGCGGAGGCTCTGGACAAATCTGGATGAGTCATGTTTCTTGTCAAGGGAATGAATCATTTCTCTGGGACTGCAAACATGAAGGATGGGGAAAGCATAACTGCACTCACCAACAGGATGCAGGAGTAACCTGCTCAGGTAAAACTTGCATAAGTCAGTCTCCACGTGAAATGCATTGTGAGAAAAAATATGTAGATGGGTTAGAAAAGAAAAGGATTCAATTCCCTAGAAGCAATCTTATCCACATATGAAATTACCCAGTCCATTGCTAAAAATCCAAAACAAAGACAAAACCCGTATTTTTTAAAAAAATAAAAAAGATTCTGAACATTACAGCCAGGAGGTGACTACCTTCAATATATTCAGTAACCTGGGGCCTCCCCGGTGGCTCAGCAGGGTGAGCGCTGTGCTGTGAAGCTGTCTGCAGCCTCTGCAGTGCAGGTTTGATTCCCAGCCAACCAGGGAGAAACCCACATGGTGCAACAGACCTCTCCTGCCTTGTCCGCTGCTTCCCTCAGCAGTCTCTTCCGTCTGTCTGCCTGTTAGGCTTCCCACTCTGTCTCTGGTGAATTCTCTCACCCTCCCACGCCTCTGACTGTACCCCAGTTCTTGTATAAATAAATAATTTTTAAATATATATATTCAGTAATCCAACCATACCCTCCTCTTGTACATGGAAATATTATAATATCTAAATTAATTCCATCTCCCATTCCCAGAGACATGCTGCTTTCATGCATAGACCCATAAATTATTCCCCGTTAACTGATCATCCTCTAATAATCAACTTATTGCATTAAGAATAAATATGGCTAACACTGTTTCCCTTTTTTGGGGCAAAGAAGTTTCACAAAGTATAATGGTTTTTCCAGTGTACAGTGCTATTCACCCCATTTATACAATTGCACTGATTTATAAAACATTTCATAAGTTTTATCCCAGTTAATCTTACAATAACTCACAAAGTCATGTGTCAGACCTGCTAACAAATCCCAAGATCATATTTCTGACCCATTCAGATTCCTGGACTTTCTATTCTCCTGGCTTTTTTCACTGACCTTTATGCAGACCTTGCAGCCTCTTTTAGAGACCATCTCCTCCATAGGACTGATTTTAGACTGATCTAGTCTCTACCCAGGCTTTGTGTCTTAATGGGAACTAAACTGGCTAGTACTAGAAAAATAAGCTGGACAATGCTCTTATTTTGAGCAAGTTGTTAAATCTCTCGAAACTCCAGTTTCTGAGGTTGCAGTGGCAGGCTGCTGGTAGTCTAGTACGTACGACGTGTTTAAAATGTTTGCTCCCTCATGTCTCGCTACTGCCTGTTCCTTTGACAACTCAGTTCTCGTTCTCCTTTGTCTACTTCCCTTCCCCTCTTCTTCCTCCTCCTTCTACCTTCTTCTTGTCCTTTATTGTTAATTATTATGTGGCGTCAGAGAGTAACAGTAGTAACATTTACATAAAACATCTACAGCAAAGCTCTTACCGTAATTACCACTGTCTAGAGAGCTGACTGCTTACACTAAGACATCAGTGTAGTACCTTTGACTCTTGTTTGTTTTTTTAAACTCAGAATGGACTCACTGAAACTTGCCTTTTTTAAAAATTATTTTATTTTATATAATTCTTACATCATTTTTCATTTTTGCACAGTGTATGCATTTTCATTTTGGTTATATTCCCCATACAATTCCCACCCTCCTTATTCTGACCCTAATCCCTCCTCTCCTCCACTGCCCTCCCCGCCCCCGTGGTATGTCTCTGGTCTATAGCTGCTTGTTGATTTTGATTTTTACTTTATTACAATTAGCAAAATAAGCCAGAAAGAAAAGGAAAAATACCGGATGGTCTCACTCATAGCAGGAATTTAGAAAACCTAAATAAGAGACCAGGAAAAAGAATAATTAAAACTTGCCTTTTGAAGTTTAGACACATAAAGCCCCAAATTGGTGCATAATAGAGGAAAGAATGTGTAGCCACTGAGTTCTGAGATTCTCACTCTGATGTTCAATCTGCCAACTTCTACCTCTTGGGAGATTTTATTGTTCTATTCACTGGGGCAGTATAACACAGGAGCAGAAAGACTGGTGCTAGACTGCTTTGTTTTGTTTGTTTCACATCTCAGCTCTACTACTTTCAAAGTGTTTGATCCTGTGCTAGTTTTTTAACCTCAGATTATTTATCTGTGCATAGTGGTTATGGTAATAACACACAGTGCTTAAAGTTGTTATGAAAACTAAAGATAACACATGTGATACACTTGGAATGTCATTTGCATATTTTGCTTGTGAACCGCTATGATTGTTAGTTCATAACAAAAGTCTTAAGTGGAGGGCTTTGCCTACAGTTGGAGCTTTTCCATTTGAACTACTTTTTTAATAAAAGAGCTTTTAAACATTTTTGTCTGGTCACAAACAGCTTTTGTTTTTCAAAATGTCATCCCAAATCTCCTTTTTCTCAGGTATTTCAGTCTTCATGGAAAATATAGGTGATAGTATATAGATACAATTTTCTTTATGAAAAGCTGTTCTTTGTTTAAAAATGGTACCTGATGCTTTTGAAATTTGAGAAGAAAAAATATTTTGTGTCAAATAAGAAATTGTTATGAAAACAATTGTTTTCATTGATTTTTCTTCAATTTTTAATAATTTGATACACATGTGGTGTTTTTTGCAAATATATATGCTAATGCATTTTTATTTCTTTTTCCTGTTTTCCAATTTCTAATTCAACTTCAGAGACTTATTTATGCTATTTATTATGTTGTAATAAAGAAAGATTGAAACAAAGTTTTAAATGTTCAACAAATGGTCAGTTTGTTGTTGGTTTTTGCTGCTTTATTGTATGAACTAATTTTATTATTTTTTCCCAGCTTTTAAAATAAAGACTTTGAGCCAAATTTATCTATTTCTACATAAAAGAGTGTTTACTCTGTCCAAGTAATGAAAGGAAACAAAACAAAACAGAAAATAAATTTTATATCTGTCTATCAAACATGTTCCTTGGAAAGTAGATGTAGATGGAAGTCTTTATTGCCAGCTTGTTTTTTAGTGATTAAAATTCTCCAATATGTTAAAATAGGCAACTTCCAAAATGAGCTGCCATTTTAAGGACATAACCCAAGAGGAATCTCATTTTCTAAAATCACTTCTGAATGAATGTCAACTCTGAAAATTCTGCTCTTTTTCTGCTCTAGATGGATCCAATTTGGAGATGAGGCTGGTGAATGGAGGAAACCGGTGTTCAGGACGAATAGAGATCAAATTCCAAAATCAGTGGGGAACAGTATGTGATGATAACTTCAACATAGATAGTGCTTTTGTGGTTTGTAGACAACTTGAATGTGGAAGTGCTGTCACTTTCTCTGGTTCAGCTAATTTTGGAGAAGGTTCTGGACCAATCTGGTTTGATGATCTTGCATGCAATGGAAATGAGTCAGCTCTCTGGAACTGTGAGCACCAAGGCTGGGGAAAACATAATTGCCAACATGCTGAGGACGCCGGAGTGATTTGCTTAGGTAAGGACTGATCTGGGATTGTTCTGTTCTCTCTGAAAGGACAAAAATAAGTGTGTGTGGGAGGTGCATCCCTGATGGTGCAGTGAGTTGAGCGCTGCGCTGTGAAGCTGTCCGCAGCCTCTGCAGTGAGGGTTCGATTCCCGCCGGCTGGCGAGAATCCCACATGGTGTGTGGCAGACCTCTCCTGTAGTGCCCGCTGCTCCCCTCAGCAGTGTATATCTGTCATCTGACTGTTCTGCAACATGCTCTGTCTCTGGTGAATCCTCTCACCCTCCTGCGCCTCTGGCCTGTACCCAAGCTCTTGTATAAAAATAAATAAATCTTAAAAAAAAAAAGAACAAAAAAACCCCAAAGTAAGGGGGGGAGGTAAGAACCCTAAAATCCTGGACTCTTAAAAGCTTCCTTTGTCACTTTTTTATTACCTAATTTCAGGTTCCAGTACTGATACCTGTGGCGTTTCTACCTTAATTGAAATTAGGATCTACAGGTTGGAGGGAAAGTATAAACAGTGAAACTGAGATTGTAATCTTAAGCACAACAGGAGATGTTTAGTGAATAGTCCAATTTCCCCCCACAAAGTAAAGAAAAAGATTCAACTAACAAATTTTGCTTTCTGAATTTTGAAAGCAAATCCCCCTACCTTACCATTCTCTACCTGTAAAAGTCTCATTAGCCCCATTAACATACCTTTTCCCCAACTACTCATTCAAGTTTACAGACTCAAATGACTTAAGAAAATATTTTGGTTTCCTGTTACAACCTTACTTGTGCTAGTTCTTGGGTATGAGCAGGAGCTATGTCTAGAGATTTTCGTGTTCCATGCCTGATCAGGGACAAGTGTAGTAGTAGATCTGTACATGCAGGGATGTCCCTCTCCTTTTTTCACTTGAGTTCGAAGTTTGAAGAAGACATAATATGTCCTGAATTCCAGGAAACATTTAGGAAAGTGCAATTCCAGTGAAAATGCCCCTAGTTTACCAGGTATCTTTTCTTTTTTGGGGTGGATGGGGGAAAAAGAAGGAAACTCAATTCAAGCTCATTTTAAAATAAAATACTATCTCAGAAAACTAGGGACCCCAGTAGGTATAGTTGGTTTCATGTGTGGTTATACTTAAATGTTTAAACAACGTTATCAGGGTTGTGACTCTTCTCTATTTTTTGAGTTGGGTTTTCTTTTAATGGAACAATGTGACCTTGTGGTCTGAACCCCCAAAGACTGGGAGTCTTTCAGAAAAGATGGATTTCATTAGCTGAAGCAAGTGAAAGGGATTTGGAATAGAAACCCCAGTATATACCTTCCATCTTCCTTTTCCCATCAAAATCTTTCTAGGTACCCAATAAGCACGTTTCTTCTCAATGGGTATGACATATGCTAAGAAATCACAGTAACATGTATTTTGGCAACAAAAAGTAAAACTGCCTAGGTTAAAATAAAAACCTGTTTATTAAAGGCTATATCTCAGAATCAAGATCATTTCTTGGAGGAATATTGGTTAGGGGAAGGTGCAAGTAGTGATGATGGGGTCTCTTTTCTCTTTGCTTTGACCTTAAATTAAGGAAATGGTCACAAAGAGGCCAGGCATGCACTACAATCAGATAGGCAATACAGTCAGAGGCAAAAGAAAGTGTTGAATATTGAGACAAAATGGAGTATGTGGGTACCACTTATACAAACACAAATACATGTTTAACAAGAGAAAACAAACAATTCCAACAAACACTCTTTGGTGGTCTAATGAGAAAACCTCAAGATAAAATTTATGCCCTGCAGTTATTATTAGGAACTCTTGCTGAAGTGTGTTTTCTCTGCTAATAAGTGTCTTATCTTCTTGTCTGATCCACTTCCTTTCATCTTTAATGATATTTTCTGTCTCTACTTATATATATATATATATATATCCCCTTTTTCCTTAACCCATCTAATGTGCAACCTTTTAGAGTCACCTTATTTGTATTGTTTCTTTATTGTTGACTGGTCTTTTGTCTCTCTTATAGATGGAGCCAACCTGGACCTGAGAGTAGTAGAAGGAGTCACTAAGTGTTCAGGAAGATTAGAAGTGAAATTCCAGGGAGAATGGGGGACAGTGTGTGATGATGGTTGGGATAGTGATGATGCTGCTGTCACATGTAGGCAACTGGGTTGTCCAACGGCCATCACTGCCATTGGCCGAGTTAATGCCAGCGAGGGAACTGGACACATTTGGCTTGATGGTGTTTCCTGCCAAGGACATGAATCTAACCTATGGCAGTGTAAACATCGAGAATGGGGAAAGCATTACTGCAATCACCATGAAGATGCTGGTGTGACATGTTCTGGTAAGTCCAAACAAAAAAAAGAACAACAGTGAAGGAAGGATGTGTGTTCTTTAGGAGCTGTGAGAAACACAACTCACCAACAATTTCCTTGGTGGGAATACACTCAAAGCTTTGAGGAATCTTTAACACATTCTTTATTTCACTAGTTTAGAAAGTTGTCTGACTCTGTTTTCTGGAATATTTATTCAGACCTTTTGAATTCCAATTACACTTGGAACACCAAAAGTCAAAATGTCCAGGGTTTTTCTTTCCTAAATATCTGACTTGCTCATATTTTTTGACATTGATAATTTTTATTACTCTTTGTAATTATCCTCTGTATCTAACCAAATTCATGGTCTACAGTGGCTGTTGAAAAAAAAAGCAAAAAACAAAACAGGAGATGGGTAAATCATAATTTCCAGTGTCTTAGTATCTAAGAAGGAGCAAGTTAAAAAGGTATCCTTTGGGAGCTAACCTCCATGTGTTTCTATGATCTAAGCTTATGTTTCTTTTGCAGATGGATCAGATCTGGAACTGAGACTTGTAGGTGGAGGCAGCCGCTGTGCGGGGACAGTGGAGGTGGAAATTCAGGGACTGCGAGGAAATGTGCGTGACAGATCTTGGGGACCCAAACCAGCTGAAGTGGTGTGCAGGCAGCTGAAATGTGGATCTGCACTCCAAAGGTCCTATCAAGCTTTTTCCAAAGTTCAAGCAGCAAACATTTGGCTGTTTTTAGGCACCTGTGATGGAAATGAAACTTCTCTTTGGGACTGCAAGAATTGGCAGTGGGGTGGACTTGACAGTTATCACTATGATGAAGCCAAAATTACCTGCTCAGGTAAGATTTTCCATCAAAGAGTTAAGTTGAATTATAGGAACACAAATTTCCAGTAATATCCTTGAAACTGATGAGAAACTTCAGTTCTTGTGACTAGATCTCTCCTAATGAACCAGAAAATATCTATTCCATTGTGAGAGTTGCAGAGAAACCTAATTCATTTTGTATCTAGGACCCAGGTGTTTGCTTCTATGTTCATTTTAGCTTTTGAGTAATTTTTAAATCCAGGGAAATGTGAAAGCATAAGGAGGATGATATTTTTAAAGTAGAACTATTCTTTCATGGAAATGTCCCCAAATGAGTTCAAAAGAAAAGACTATGCTGGATAAACTCACATGACAAAACCTTAATCTCCTTCTTTCTTGTTATGAAAGAATTTTCTTCTTTGTGAGCATTTTTGCATATTTCACTGAAATCTGTTTAAAAAGCTCAAAAGTAAGCTGAGTTGGCTAGGTTTATGGATAATCTACTATTTTAAGCTAACTACATTTATACAAATGTTAACTTTGTTCAAAAGTGATGTTTTCAATAACTGTAAGGTAATAGGTTGACATACCTGTTGTAATATGGGGAAAGGGAGATTTCAGAAAAAGCAATGTAAGAGAAAAGCCATTAACATGTAGAGACCTAGGGTAGAAGCTCATATGCGCTGCATGTCCTTTAACCAGTGACTTTGCCTCAGATACATCCTAACCAAGGTAGATTCCCCAGTGTTACAAATTGTATCTACCTCTGGCTAAGTAAAAATCATTCTCTGATTGAAAAAAAGACATTCTTTTAAGATATGAATTTGAATTGCTGCATTACTTTTAAAGAGATTTCTTTATTAGGCAATATATCCACAAGTTTTAAACTTCAATGGATGTTTTGGACTGAACCAAACACCCATTAACTGCTAATACTGGTTTAGGGACCCTCATATTGCTTTAAGGGTTGAGAAATCATTAGCTGATTTCAGCTGCCCTTAAAGACAGCATAACAATTTGCTGTGAGCTTAGTAGGCTTCTGGTCAATCTGCTTTATTTATTTATTTATTTTTATTATTCTCATTTTATTTTATTTTATTTTTTTATTTAAATTTTGTTTTTATATTCCCCATACAATTACAACCCCCTTATTTTGACCCCAAGCCCTCCTTTCCCCACCCCCTAGAGTGTCTCTGGTTCATAGTTGTTTGTTGATTTTGATATTTTCTTTCTTATAGTTATTCATTTTCCTGGTCCCTTATTTAAGTTTTCTAGATTCCTGCTATGAGTGAGACCATCCGGTATTTTTCTTTTTCTTTCTGGCTTATTTTGCTGAGCATGATCCCTTCCAGCGCCATCCATGTTGCTGCAAATTGCATGTGTTTATCTTTTTTGAATGCTGAGTAATATCAATCTGCTTTAATCCAGTGCCATGTGAAAGTAACCAGAGTCAGAGTATATTTACATACTTTGGTCCATAGTGTGGCCAGTTTCCTTCCTCTTAATTTATTGATCGCTGCCTTAAGTTCATTTGAAATCAGGATTTTGCAAGGAAAGGCAAGACTGGACTCTTGGCTTGCTGGTGGACTCATCGTCTTTGTATGTGGATCATCAGTTTTATCCTCTGCTAAAATTGCATGTTTGTCACCTCCAATTTTGGGGGACAAGATACTTAGGGATTTTTCTTAATCCTGCAAACTGCAAATTATAGAACTCTACTAACTGCATGTGATAGCTGCAGGAAGAGCGTGTCTTCCTTACAAAATTGGTATTTTTCCTTCCACTTCTGCTTACAGTCTGGCTCCTTCTTAGTCTGAGTTCACATCTGGTTTTGTGCTGAAGTGCTGAAGGCAGCAATGAGGATTCATGTTATGCCAACATTCTGACATTTTTTTCTTCAGATTTTTATACTTTTCCCAATAAGTTCTCCAATTTTCAACTTTAGTGAGTACATGGTTTTCTTCTCAAGGTGTCATTTGCCCAATATCTTACCATGAACAACAAGATTCATTAGCTTTACAATTGACAATAACTGAGTCATGAGTATCTTCTGTCCATTGATTCCGATCAACTGTATTCAAAATGGTAGTTTTTTATAGAGTAGTTTTTTATAGAGTACCTTGCTTATGGTTACACATTATGAATTATTTAGGATTCCATTCATCTACATATAATAAAAATCCCAAAGAGCATAAGTTTGACAGTTTAGGTGGGTCCCTTTCTTTACGAAATTATGCTTTTGTTTGCTATTTGCCATGTGTGCTCTTGACTTTACTTTGTAAACTCTTGTTATATTACTGTAGTTTTTGGAAGCTCTTCTCTTTTTGGGGGGCGGAGGCTAGGTTTTAGTTCATTCCTTCTTTTGCTCTAGAAATAGAGTTTGCAATTTTGTTTAGTTCCTTGATATTTTTTAAAAGATTTCCAGCAAAAAATTAGTGTGGGGGGGCATAGTCTCTGTGTCTGCCAAGTTCAAACTTCAAATTCCATAATCTCTTGAAATTCCAAGAATTTTATAATGTATAGGACTTTCTGTATGAAAGGACCCAAAAATACAAAGTAAAGCAGGAAGACTAGAAAGATAAACAGTTTATCTCTGATGAACAGTTTATATACACCAGCCAGAAAGAGGTCTAAGAAATTTTGGTCATAAAATGACTTTGAACTCCAGACATTTGGTGTGATAATGTGTACATGCTGTAGAGGACATCACAATTTAACAAACAGTTGTTTGAGCTGTGTTTTATCTTACTAAGACTTAAGAAATAATTTTGAGGTTAAAATGGTCTATACTTCAGAGTCTGGGAAGTAAAATGATGAAAATATATTAATGCTTTTTTAAACCCTGATATTCATTTTATCTATTATGAAACTAACTCATTCTTTCTTTCTTTCTTTTACTTGGTTTTCATTTCTAGAGAAAGAAATGGATACAGATACAGTTACAGGCAGCAGGAGAGGTTTAACTCATTTATCAAAGGAGAAACTTTGTTCATTTTGTATCTAACATATTTCTAATTTTGGATTCATCCTTATTTGAATATGTACATCTTTTACTAAACTGTGTGTTTTTGGGGGAAAGAGTGATTATTGAGAAATTGAAGAAACTTGAAAAGAAGTAACTTTTCTCCAGGTACATGAGGTTGGGAAATACATTATAAATAGAGAGAAAAGTTTCAACCGATGTCCAGAAGCATGAAAAAGCATGATAAACTCAGGCTGGGGCATAGAGTTGAACAAATAAAGTAATAGGTTTTAGGTTTTTAAGGCAATATCAATAGAATAGTTTTAAAGTAGGCTAAAAATCAGTGCTTATCATCCCTTCTTAGTTTTCATAGATGGATAATATTGGGGGATCGATCAAAGGTCTCTATGCTGCAATTACCTCAAAAGAAAAATTATGGTGACAAAAATACCTACCTCATAGAATTTTGGGGCAAATGATTCATACATGTTGGAGACTTTGGTTATGGTTGGCATCAATAGTATCAGTTTAATCTGTCTTCATTGATAGACTGAGCCCTGTAACAGACTTTCTAGCCCATACGAATGCCTGAAACATTGTAGGTACTTAATAATGTTTGTTTAAAGGATAAATAATTGCATAAGTAAGATAGAAACACCAAATTATGTTGAGACAAAGAAATCATGGAAAATATTTGGAATTTAATCATATATTTGTGGTCATGGCATGGACTTATTGGAAAGAAGATTTAGAAAAAAGGAAATCACATAGGAAGCTATCACAAAGGTCTACATGACTTGTGAAGACAAATTACATTAAAGCAGTAGAAAAACTACAGAGAAGAAATCCCCTGGAGGACTAACAGACATTAGTGGTTTTCTCCATGTACAGTGTACAGTGCAGGTCAAAATTCTAGTCTCTGGAATATGCGACTGCCTGGCTCCAAATTCCAGCATTTCAGTAATTCACTGTGTGATCTTAGTGAATTACTGTGCCCCTCTATGCTCTGGTTTCTTTGTCTGTAAAATGAAAATATTAAGAATTATTCCCTAACATAATTGTAAGGATAAACTTCTATTTGTTAAATATTTAGTAATTTATTACTAGGTGCTCACATAATGTTCACTACTATCATTATTATTACCATTAATTATGATGAGATAAAGAAGTGATTCAATTTCAGGCAATTCTAATTTGTTCTAGAGATCATTAATTAAGCAAAGACTATGAGGGGCTTGTCTATACAACAATTCTGAACACCTTAAGTTTCAGATGTCCCAGTAAGTAGCTTTGTTTATAAATATAGATTTAAGGAGAAAGGAATAGGTGAAAAGGTACTTTTTGGTAGTTAGAGAAGAATATCCATTGAGAAGATGAGAGAATTGAGGTTAAAACATGGGAAATACATGAAATTTCTGATAAGACACTGCCAGGCAGAAAGGAGGAGGAAATACAAGAAAGTGATGTCTCATGTCCTCTGCTATCAAAGGGAAGAAGAGATCTGGGGTCTATTTTGAAAACAGGAAGTTTATTGGAAAACTTTACATAGAACCATTTGAAAAGTTTGGTGCCAACCTCCAACTTCAGTGGGTGGAAGATGAATACAGGGCTAAAAGACGGAGTGTCTTTTATCTGTGGGCTCAGCTGTTGGGAAGAATGTAAGAAAAATAGCAAAAGGAGTTATGATGCCACCAAAGATGATTGGCCCAGGAGGCAAAGTTCCATAACTTTCTCAGATGGTTCAGTCCAAAGATTCATGGGGAGATACAGGAAGAAAATCCGGGCAGAATGAGTGTGGAAAATTGCTAACATCTTGGTCTTTCTTTCTCATACTTTCCTCCTTTCCTCACCCCCATCGGAAAGATAAAACATACTTGGGAGTCTGTATCTCTAACTGAGATATTATTGTGTTCAGCCCACAGGGAACCCAGACTAGTAGGAGGAGACATTCCCTGCTCTGGTCGTGTTGAAATTAAACATGGCGACACATGGGGCACCGTCTGTGATTCTGACTTCTCTTTGGAAGCTGCTGATGTGCTGTGCCGGGAATTACAGTGCGGTACCGTCAGCTCAATCATCGGGGGAGCTCACTTTGGAGAAGGACATGGACAGATCTGGGCTGAAGAATTCCAGTGTCTTGGGAATGAGTCCCATCTTGCTCTCTGCCCAGTAGCTCCTCGCCCTGATGGGATTTGCAGCCACAACAGAGACGTGGGGGTAGTCTGCTCAAGTGAGAGCCAGAGAACACACTCACTTTGTTCCCATATTGTGAAGAGGGGGTGGTTAGGCAGTCCCAGACACTGTTGTTAAAACTCTGTCTCTTTCTAGGATACTCAGAAATTCGCTTGGTGAATGGCAAGTCCTCATGTGAGGGAAGAGTGGAACTCAAGGTGCTTGGGACCTGGGGATCCCTTTGCAGCTCTCATTGGGACATGGAAAATGCCCATGTTTTGTGCCATCAGCTTCAATGTGGAGTTGCCCTTTCTACCCCAGGAGGATCACATTTTGGGAAAGGAAGTGGTCAGGTCTGGAGGCACATGTTTCACTGTACTGGAATTGAGCAGCACATGGGAGATTGTCCCATGACTGCTCTGGGTGCTCGGACATGTTCTGCAGGGCAACTGGCCTCTGTAATCTGTTCAGGTAAGAGGATAAAGGGCAGCCAATGAGGAGCCTCTTGCATGGTGGTGTGCCTTAAGAGCAGGTGTACCCATGGGGATGAAGAACAAAAAGGGAATGATCCATTTTCAGGGATAGTGAGAAGTATGCCAGAATGTTACCCTTATTTGTCTTATTAGAGGGAAAGCAAACTAAATTTCCATGGACTCCATAGTTATCTAGTGCTTCTCATGGGCCAGCTGATTCATTCCCAGCCTGGTTGACACATACACTGTCCCCTCTCTCTGTTTAACATTTTTGTCTGCAGCTCATCAACCTAACTCTCCATTTGACCCCTCTTTCCCACCCTAGTATTTGGTATCATGTATGACTGAGCAGTTTGGTGTTTTCAGGAAATCAGAGTCAGACATTGCAACCCTGTAATTCATCATCTTCAAACCCAACGAGCTCTGCTGTGTCAGAGAAAAACACTGTTCCCTGCAGAGGTAAGAATCAGTGAGCAATCTGTGAAAAGGGTCTCAATCCTTAGAAATGCATTCTATTGATTTTATTTTCTTTCCAGAGAGTGGTCAACTTCGTCTGGTAAATGGAGGCAGTCGCTGTGCTGGAAGAATAGAGGTCTATCATGATGGCTCCTGGGGCACCATCTGCGATGATAGCTGGGACCTGAAAGATGCCCACGTGGTGTGCAGACAGCTGGACTGTGGGTCGGCCATTAATGCTACCAGTTCCGCCCATTTTGGGGAAGGAACAGGGCCCATCTGGCTGGATGAGATAAACTGTAATGGAAAAGAAACTCATATTTGGCAATGCCGTTCACATGGCTGGGGCCGGCACAATTGCAGGCACAAAGAGGATGCAGGCATTATCTGCTCAGGTACGTTCTGAAAAAAACCTCTGGTCTTGATTAAATACAAAAGACTGAGGTAAGGCAAAGAGCTGTAAAGAATATTAATCTGAGGGAATTCCTTGAGAAGAACATTCAGAGGAAACTACAGTGACAGTCAGGATCCCAGAAGGATAGATGTGATGAATGAGTACTACCTCATACCAATCCCCTCTTCACTCATGTGCAAGTTAGCATAAGCTCAGAGAGAAAAAGACTCAGAAATGAACTTGCATGTCATGAAAAAAACAGCAAAACTAGTAATGAGAATTTCTTTTATAAATCTATATGGTGCTGGATATTGGGTAGGAATTTGGTGCACTACTTATGATCACTGTATTAATAAAGGAATAGATTAAAAGGGACAAGGAGAAATATTTCATGAGGAAAAGATAATTCTATATTCTACAGAGAAAAAGATAATTACTATGCCCAAGAATTTTTCATGGCAGGCAAATGAGACAGCGTAGGAACAAAAATTACCATAGAGGAATGCTTTAAGAAACTAGTATGAATTAGAAAAATGTACTTAACTGTACTATATTGAGGGAAATAACACTACTACTCACTTACTTTAGCAAGTGAAAAGTTTTACATGCTAAAATGGTTTCGATACATCTGCATTTAATAACGTAAGTCTGGTCAAGGACATATATGGCAAAACTGTTTAGTGTTGACATGATGTTTTATTTTATGCTAATATACTACACAAACTTTGGTTTCAGTCTAAACATCTCTCTAAATTTTAACTATCAAGGAGAGTTGCAAAATAGAATAAAAAAAAACAGAATAATATCCTGAAGATAAAATTACAGCAATTTAGAGAGAAAAAAACAAACTGTAAATGATAAAAAATCTGAGCCTTTGATTGAGATCTAGAAATCAACTTAGCATCATTGGTGGCATGCTAAAGAGGTCCCTGAGCACAAGGCCCAACAATAGGAGACCATGAGGTATTGATAGAACAAATACTATGTTATACAAAAATCTAAATCATTAAGAAACTACCCAAAAAATGTACTAGTAATTGGCACATTGCATCTATTTTAAAAACCTGACACCAGAGTAAAAGGAGGAAATCATCTAAATATTCAGAGAAGATGTGAAACCACTAACTCTGTATTTCACCCCAGAGTTCATGTCTTTGAGACTGACTAGTGAAACCAGCAAAGAGACCTGTGCTGGACGTCTGGAAGTTTTTTACAATGGAAGCTGGGGTACTGTTGGCAAGAGGGACATGTCTGAAACCACTGTGGATGTGGCATGCAGGCAGCTGGGCTGTGGGGACAAAGGAACCATCATCCCTGAATCTTCAGACAAGACAATATCCAGGTACATGTGGGTGGACAATGTCCAGTGCCCAAAAGGACCTGACACATTATGGCGGTGCCCTTCATCCCCATGGGAACAGAGACTGGCCAGCCCTTCAGAGGAGACCTGGATGACATGTGGCAGTGAGTTTCCTTTGATCTATTGAAATTTTCATTCTATACCTCCACCATCATCTTCCAATCTATTAAAGAGGAATGAGTAAACTTTGGTTAATACCTATAGTATTTGGATGGTGTAATGTGTTTTATTTGATTTGTCCTATAAGTATCCCAGATCAGTGACCATTTTTCCAAAGAATATTACTTTTCCCGTGATTTTCTTGAGAGTTTTATTCAATTCCTTTCTCTTTGAATAAATCAGGAGCAAATACCTTGATTCAATATTTGACCATTGAATGGTCTACCTTGCCTTTCCCGTTTTTCTTTCAAATGTTTTCTTGTTGTAATAATATATGGAGAAAAGTAGTCATAAAAATCAATCCTGAAATATTTCCCAATTCTGCAGCTTCTTCTATATACTTTCTTTCTTCCTGTCAATCTCTTAAACTCTTTTCTATTTGGGAGATCTTAGACCTAGTATTATACAATGTTAACTTTATTCACTTGACATTTCCTGAGTCACACTAATGCTCTATGTCCAGGATGAAATATACCCAGTTTGCTGAAAGTTCATCTGCTTTCATAAAAGATAAATTTTGTTAAAATACATATTTTAAAATGCACATTAAATATTTAAATAGATTAAAAAATCTTTTCCTATGATGTCTTTTGAGCTTTTATCTTCTCAGAAATAGCCTAGATGTCTCTGATTTTTTCAGACAAGATCAGACTGCAAGAAGGAAACACTACTTGCTCTGGACGTGTGGAGATCTGGCATAGAGGTTCCTGGGGGACAATATGTGATGACACCTGGGACCTTGAAGATGCTCAGGTGGTGTGTCGGCAGCTGGGCTGTGGCTCTGCTTTGGAGGCACTAAAAGAGGCGGCTTTTGGTCAGGGAATGGGGCCCATCTGGCTCAATGGAGTGAACTGCAAAGGGGATGAAGCTTCCTTGTGGGATTGCCCTCCCGGAATCTGGGGGCACAGTGACTGTGGGCACAAGGAAGATGCTGCTGTGAGGTGCTCAGGTGAGTGCCAAGGACCTGGGTGAAGGCCAGAATCTTTGACAGCAAAGAGAGGGTGGAGAATGAAGTGCATTATGCAAAGATTAGATGAATTTCATGGGGACCTGATGGGGAGAGAGAAACATTATGTTTCAACGTGAAGGAAAGATGAAGACATTTGTTGCTACACATTGGCTTTCACCAAGGAAAAGTGTATGTGTATCCCCATGCAGAGGGAAGAGAAACTAGGGGGCTCTAATTTTAGGTAGAAAGAAGTTTACTTGGTTGAGCAACAGACACTAAAGGCTCAGACAGGAAGTAGAAATATTTGTTTTATATATTATTCCCAAAATTAAGTCTCCCTTTCTTTTTTCTTACAGAAATTTCAGCATCCATAAGATCATCAGAAGCCAAAGGTATTCCATGGGGTTTATAAGCATTATGACCAATCATTTGCATTGTTTAGAAATCCCTCTTGGGTCAAAGTCTTCTGACTTTGGGTCAGAAGTTCTGAGGACTTGAAATTTACTTTGGCAATCTTGTGTGTGACCTAGAAGAGGGATAATAACTAGGACCTGGGTCTCTTGGTGAACACATTGTCAGCTCTCATGATGTTTTCTTGTGTTTAGGTCGCTCATCTGTTGTTGCATTTGGGGTCTTTGGGGTCTTCCTGGTGGCCTCTCTCATTGCAGTCCTCTGGTGGACACTGAAGCGAAGGCAGACACAGCGGCTGACAGGTGTGAGCCATATCTGGATACTGCTAACTTTCTGCGGGATAAGAAGTCCTTGGGAGACAAACAAAACAAAAATTCTTCAACTGAAATATCAAATGAGCAGAAAGACAGGCCCTAGGAGAGGGTTAAGCAGTTTCTCAGAAAAGAGAGAACAAGATTTCAGAGGAGAAAAGGGTCTTTGGTTATACTGAGGATTCCGTATTCTATCTACATGTTTAATTGAGACATCATAAAACTGATAGTTTAGGATGAAGGGTTTAGGATAAATCCTTTATTGCTAAACATCTGTTTTTTTCCTCTTGCTGTATACTTACAACTGATCTTGCTGTTTGGCCCATGTTTATATGGGCTGTGAACATATAAACATGATAATCGAGTGCTTTCGGTCTTCATGGAAATTGAAATCTAGTAGAAGATATATATGTAAACAGACTGCAGTGTGGCATATTATTAATATGAATAATGACAGAAGTAGCACAAAGAAGAGATTAATTAACTGAAAGGGGAAGGAGGTATCATAGGCCTTCTAGGAGGTTTTGAGACAGATTTTGAAACTAAAGTGCAAACTTTATCTGGGTAAGGAACATTATAGGGAAAATGAAAATAAATAAAATATAGGGAGGCTATATATGCTTGGGGGGAGGAATTAGAAATTGAATTCAAGGGAAGAAGCTACTGGTAAGGCTGGAGAAATTATGAAGTTATTTCTTTCTACCTATTTCTATATTCCATGATAAGATGCTTAATAGTTATATTAATTTTAAGAGTATTATATAGAGCTGTGAAGCAGTCAAGTGTCTTTTAGAAGGTTTTATTTGGCAATACAATGTATGAGGCATTGACATTATTGAATAAGGATTGTATCTTGAGAGAGTTGAGATGAAAAATGGGAAGGACTTTATAGTGAGAGTGGAGGAAAAGGGATAGATTTTTAGAGAGAAGATAAGAAAAGCAACAATGAATTAGAGAAGACCGCTGGCTGCCTCAGACTTATTGTTTGATGGCATAGAGGAAATATGGCCTCATCGTGTGTGTGTGTATGTGGTGTGTATATGTGTGTGTGTGGTGTGTATATGTGTGTGTGTGTGTGGTTATAAGGGAAGGCTAAGTAGTAGGATGGGATGAATACAAGACAATGGCATGGATAAAGAATTGGTACTTTTGCCTTGATGGGAAAAAACACACATAAGGGAGGGGAGTTTTCCTTATGATCTGCGGATCCCTAATCTCAGATCTCTATTGTCAGTTTCCTCAAGAGGTGAGAACTTTGTCCACAAAATTCAATACCGGGAGATGAACTCTTCTTTGAAGACAGATGACCTGGACCTCCTGACTCCCTCAGGTCTGTGGGTTCTTTGAGGGTCAATAGCCAGGTGGTTCCTACCAGTAGCTATAATTAAAGCAGAAGCATTCTACTTTGCATAGCAGTAGAAAGAAATCTGATACATGTAATCAGACACTTTTGATGTATGTAAGGAAGAAAAGTAGGAATGAAGAAAAAATTCCTAAAGAACACAAAATTTGCAATATGGGAAGACTATGAGACCTGTGATCACTAGACCCAGCTGGGAGACCCATGACTCTTTCTGACAGAAGTACAAAGAACCATGCTGCAGAATATTATGACTTTGACCACATTTGTTAAAACAGAAATTAACTTTTCAACTCTCAGTTTCTGCCATCTCCACTTCCTGCACATTTGCTTATTTAAGTTAATATTTATTAAATTTTTCCTAAAGTCAAAAAATTAAAATTTCTATATTTTGATTCCATTGGAAGTCATCATATACTTCACAAGATTGTCTTATTTCCAATTCTGCTTTCTTTGTCCTCTGACATCTACTTAACACCAATGAAATAATTCAGCCTCTGGGCAGCATAACTCTGCCAGGTTGGGAGAAATATCCTAATACCCACTTACTCTATGAAGATTTTTCACCTTCTCAATAGTCCTTACCTGCTGAGAGGAACCTGTTTCACTCCTTCAGGCCAAGGAAGTTGGCATTTGCTGCAACTACATGGGAAGACATAGTTAAGGTGCAGGAAAGACTTTGTGCCCCTTAAATCATATTTCTTTGCCTTCTTAATCATAGACAGTACCCTCAAATGTTCAAAGAGCTTCTAAGGCTATTGAGGGGAGGTCTGAAGTACTTCCCAGTAATTATTTTCTTCCTTTCTAAATCTCGTCAAGTCAGATGGTTTTAATGCTGCTGAACTAATTTTTGTGTCTTAATCTTTCTTATTTCTGGATAAAAAAGGGGACTAGTCTGAGGTCCACTGAAAAGGAAAATGGGAATTTATAACCCCGTGTGGTAAGTGAAATTTTATTCATCATTGCTCAAAATGGGTAAATTCCTTTTGCAAATTTAGAACTCTGGTATGGGAAAGGAAGATATAGACACACATGTATTTCCATATATATATATATATATATATATATATACACACACACATATACACATAAATATGCATATGTATATATGTCTATGAATAAGTATCCATACTCAGAATATATAAATACTATTGTAAACATGATTCTTGGCCATCTCTTAATTACATATATATTCTAAGCAATGGCAATGATACCTCATGGAGCTAAGGAAAAACTGGATAAATATGAATAAATCCATTAAAAGATATTATAGGAAAGAGATCAGACATAGCTACAACTGTATGATGTGTACAGTGGTAATGGTAATAAGAGAACTAAATACAGAAAGTTTGCCTAAGAAAGTTTGGGAAGATTGTGAAGAAGATGTGATTTTCATATTATATTTTTTAAACAATTTTGGGAAGACTATAAAGACTTAGAAATGATATACAGCAAAAGTGTGTTTTGGTAGAAATATTATATATTACATGAGAAATACAGACTGAGACAAAAGATAAAGCTGGAACTTTAAAAGCATTTAAAGTCTATTTACATGCATGTATACACACAGAACTTTTATAAATTGTACATAGATGAAAAAGATTAATATTGGTACACAAATTATATATATATTCTCAATTTTAAGATAAGATAGCATCTAATGGATAATTATGAAGACAATTCAGAAACATATATTGAACATATTTATGAAAACAAGAGGTATCAAAACTTGGAAAAAACATTTCACACAAAATAAATTTTAAGGGGCCTCCCCGGTGGCGCAGTGGTTGAGCGCTGGGTTGCGAAGCTGCCCGCAGCCTCTGCAGCGCCCGGTTCGATCCCCGGCTGCTCCCTGGCCACCGGAGGAGGGTCCCACATGGCGCGCAGACCTCTCCTGCCGCCCGCTGCTCCCCTCAGCAGTGTACTTTGGTCCCTCTGCCTGCTCTGCTCCCCGCTCTGGCTCTGGTGAATTCTCTCACCCTCCAGTGTTTCTGACTGTACCCAGTGCTTGTATGTATGTATGTATAAATCAATAAATCAACCAAACAAATAAATAAATAAATCTTTAATAAATAAATAAATAAATAAATTTTAAATGACAAATAGATGTTTTTTAAATGCTCAAATTCACCAGCATGTCTAAACAATTCAAATTATGGATAACAATGAAATATCATTCTATGTAAATCAGACCAACAAAAATTAAAAAAAGAGCCAACATGTACTATGGTGGGAATATACAGAAAAATGTAATTTGCAACATTGCTATTGGAAATGACTGTTTTGCTAGCCTTTGGAGAAGGCAATCTGCAATCTTCTATTATGTTTTTTTTTTAATGTTTCACAGATCCTTTCATCCAACAATTCTACCCCTAAGAATGGCACCCACACAGATAAAGCCACTAGTGAATAAGAGCATATATTCACTTTGTTTCCAGGGATATATGTATTCCTTTGTTAGTAGTGGCAAAAAACTGGAAACAAAGTGAGTCAAGGGAGGGTGAAGGGTGGCTGGAAAAATTATGCTGCAGCCAGTGAAAAAGAAAAATCATCCACAAAAATGCAATAATAGCATTTAAGTGCTCATGTATTGAATATAATTACATATGTGTACATCTATCATCTACACAACATATATGTAAAAAGAAACATTAAAATTCTACCAACATTGTAAACTAAGGACTGTGGAGGACTTTTCATTTTTAGTCTCAGATATAAGGATATTATTCTGATTTAATAAGCAATGACTAAACTGCTTTTTTCTTAAAGAGTAATTGCTGCTTAATTGTGTCTTCAGAATCACACAAGGGTGCTTGGAAAAAAATTGCATTTCTGTGTGTCACTGCAGTTCTATGGACTATAAATAATTTTCATGCACAGTGAAATCTGAAAATCAATGCTTTAAGTTTTCAGTTCAGAAAAAGTGTGCTTTTTAGTGTCTGTGAGAGTGTGGTGTTATAATATAGCATGTACCACATCATAACATATTTATCACATTATTACATTCTAACATTATCTTCTATGCATGTGTGTATGAAAAGAAAAGTAACATTGATTTTCTATTTATGGCTTGGGTCCAGCCCATAAGATACCTTGATGAAGAATTGGACTGTTGAATGGAGAAGAACCCACCTCCGTCACTCAAGATGACAGCCCCCTCCTTCGTCCCCTAATATTCCAAAGACTGCTGCTCAATTTATAAAAATTAAATGGTGAATGTGACTATTCAAATTTGTATATAAGACTTTCAAGGGGATGAAATAAAGTGGAATATTGCTGATTTTAAATTTTTCTTGACTTCTTGATCTTCATTTTATGCATTTCTAAATGGGCTTATTAACTCTTTTAAGGCTTCATAAATATACCTTTTAATTGATCATCTTTTTATTTGCATATAGTATACGTTTTTCTGGTTTGGTTTAAGTAGTAATTTTCTTCTTAGTACCAATTTGAAAAAATTTCTTTTTCCTTTAGCCTTTTTTTAAGAAAGAGAACATTTCTGATCACTGATCATCAATAATATGTGGTTCTTTACAAAGCATGACCCTCATTAGTTCTTTAAATGTTTTTTTGTCACTACAATTCTGGTCACAGAACACAGCAGGGTCTTCCTGGTGGCACAGGGGTTAAAATCTCAGTGCTATCAAGTTATCACCAGCCAGTGTAACACAAGCTAGCCCAGGGAAAAGTTACATCTAGCCAGGGAGCTGACCCACATGGTGCAGCATACCTCTCCTGTCTCACCCACTGACCCCCCTCAACAGTGTATTTCAGTAGATCTGCCTGTTTTGCTACTCACTCTGACTCTGATGAATCGTCTTATCCCCCCCCCACCTCTGGTCTGTACCCCAGTTCTTGTATGCATAAATAAAGACAAAAATAAATCTTTAAAAAAAAAAAAGAACACAATGCCCAACAAAGCTATGAAAACCTTCATAACCAAAGCTGAAATGAATGCATGATGTTTTTATTTAAATATAACCATTATAATAAAAGCTCATATTTTACAATCATTAATCCATGTTACATTAACTATAAAGAACAGGTAACATTTAAAGAAAGACATAGTAATTCAACACTGAGCTTTAATTAGAGTCTATTAACTTGCTGGACATTCCAGTGTTAGATGCAGATTGAGGTTTAACCTTTCTCAGTATTCAAGAGCACGATGGACTATGGTTTGTGGTGGGTGCTGTGTGGTAACAACACCTGAATGCAGAGATCATATGTTTCTAAAACACAATGTTATAAACCACTGTTACTCCAATTTTTAAAAAGCCACAGTGTTCTGTTGGTACTGTGTCTGTGGACCACACATCAGTGCATCTTTATCATAAGTAAACTTAGATTTTGTGACTATTTAGCTTATGATTGAAGACCAGAAAATTTCTGGGAAAATCTTCAGAATATCTGATTTTTTTCAGACTCCTTTTCACATATCTTCCTAAGTTCAACTTAATGAACGGTAGTTCTTTATACAGTATGGGTGCTACTTAAATAATTGTTTCAGGGAAACTTTAACATGCTCTGTGCCATGTATCTAACTAGAAAATTGAATAAGGGAAGTGAAGTCTTGAATTGAGGTTATACCTCTTTTTGTGGAAACTCACTTTGGGAAAAGGAATGGTCTGATTTGGCCTTAAAAGTTGAAGGGAGTGATGAAACTCACCTTGAATTGAACTCACCACAGCACTCCAGAAGAGACTGGCAGCCACAATAATGAAGTTAGAATTGCCAGTACTCATGAGAGATCACATGATCTTAATTGGCTGGAGTTGGAGAGTGTGGGACTGGCTCTGACAAGTCATGGACTCCTCTGAAAGGCCTTATCCCACTTAGAATATGTGGTGCCTGACTTGTCAGTGGCAAATCCCAGTGCAAGGGGCAAATGGAGACCAAGGTGCTAATATATTGGGGCTCCCTCTGTGACAGCCATTGGGGCCTGGAAGATACTGATATCCTATGCATTCAGCTCAGTGATGAGGTGGCTTTCCCAACCACAGGAGGATAATCTACTAAAGAAGGAGGTGGTTGTGTTCAGAGACACAGATTTCACTGCTTAGGGAATGACTCCTTTCTGGATAATTGTCAAATGAGTCCTTGGAATACCTCACTGTGTCCATGAACACACTGCCTCTGTGACCTACACATTGTGAGAACAGTGATTATGGTCACCCACTGGCAGTATAGCCCAGTGTAGTGTGGTAGAGGTGAGATTAAAGGAAAAATGGGTAATAAAATAGAGGGGGTTGTTAGGATTGGCATGACAGCCAAAAAAATGATGTGCAATGAATAATGAATTCTGGACACTCCTAAGGGGAAGGTCACTCACTCACCTCTCCATTTGGAGTTGTAAGCAGACACCCATAAAGATATTTTAATTGATCAAATTAATTAATTGATTAATCGATTAATTAATTAATTTAATTGATCAAATTTCAAACAACAGTTTGAAAAACTCTTCAACCTTTTCCATGCATTTGAGCATACTTTGCTCTTGCACTTGCCAACAGGAAACCAGCCCATCATTGTCTCCATATTCTGCAAATTTATCTCATTCATCTGTGTCTGCAGTCCCAGTTAGTGATTTCATCAGCTCAGGTGAATAAATCACAGTCCTGGGAAGTGCTTTCCAACTGGGGAAAAAAAATGAGACCTATTAACTGGATTTTCTCCCCTTAGAAGACAAACAGCTTTGTCTAGTAGACAGGGCAGATGGCTGCACTGGCAGAGTGGAGACCCTTCACCAGGGCTCCTGGGCACTATGTATGGTGGCCACTGAACCATGTATGAAGCCCACGTGATGTGCAGACAGCTTGGCATGGAGGTAGACAATTAAACTTATGCTGCATTTACATATAGTCACTAATACCAAGAGTCTTTCACTGGACAAGAGAACATAGCATGCACACTTACCATGTAGGGGAGTGAACAGACTGTTAATTCAAAAAAACAAAAGCCCTATAGATCTGACTCAAGTCAAAGAAATCTTTGAGTCAGCTATGAAAATATGAGGGGTGGTAGAGGAGGCTGGGGTCAGATGACAGCACCATGAATTTGGAAACTGAAATCAATATACTTTGTCTTCATACATCCAATGGCAGAAAATGCACACTTAGCTTTGGCCACGTTGAAGATGCTTCACACCTTGATCACCAGGACAAACCTCAAGCATGTATGCGGACTTATCTCTTTACAGGTTATCCTATGATTCATGTAAACATTGGAACTCTGCCATTGTCAGGCTCCCCATGGGTCCCCGTCAACAGTCTCTTTCCATGTCCCCCATGTCCCTGATACAAGTCCAAGGCTAAGAAGCAAGAGTGGCTTCTTCACATGTCTCTCTGCGCCATGGGCCTCCTCCTGGTCTTTGTTCTCTCTCCTTTCTGTGGTGATCACACTGTTACACTGTGAAGGACTAGATTTAGGTGCTCTTTTTTTTTTTTAAAGATTTATTTATTTATGCATACAAGACCTGGGGTACAGGCCAGAGGTATGGGAGGTGAGAGGATTCACCAGAGACAGAGAAGGGAACAGAACAGGCAGATTAACTGAAATACACTGCTGAAGGGAGCAGCGGGTGAGTCAGGAGAGGTCTGCTGCGCCTTGTGGGTTGCTCCCTGGATGGGGATTGTACTTGTGCTGCAGGGGTTGCGGATAGCTTCATAGATTGTGTCTTAACCCCTTGTGCCACCAGGGAGGCCCTAGGTGCTCTTTACTGACAAGCAGAACACAGTGTGCAAACATAAACTGGACAGTCAACGGAAGCCAGCATCATGAATTTTTCATTTCTCCTTGTTTAAGAAAAATGATTTTAACAGTGAAACTGGAGATGTTATTTGGAGCCAAGTGGAGCTTTGGGTTCATAAAAACCGCCAGCAGTTTTAAACAACAGTCATTATTGAGAATCATCTAGGTGGAGAGCAGTAATCTCAGTTAAGGAAGAATTTACATGTTGGGCAAATCACTATCTTTAATATGGTATTTGATAAGAATGGCATAGAATGTGAGTACAGACTGAATAAAAAAAGATAACACATTTGACAAGATGTCCAGGATGGAGTTATTATTCGAGAATTGTATATGTAGTTGTTATATGTAATGCTCATAGTAAATGAACCCAGCTGCCAGAACAAGTGAAACCTGGAATTCCAGATGCTTCATCCTCTAAAATCCACCCCTCTCTCATTTCCATGTCTGTCTAGCTGGGTGGCATTCCATGTGATCATTTAGCAGCTAAGGTTCTTCATGTGGGGATTTTGTCCTCCTCTGTCCATGGGGTCACCTGCATGCAGCCAAAGTTTGGGGAAGGAGAAAACAGGATGAGGAGTGAGAGGTTTTATTAGTAGACTTCTCTTCTGTCCCCGTTCATGTGGCTAGAACTCCAGCAGGCACCAGCTGCCATGGAGACCAGTGATCTTGTTTTGTTTTTTGCAGTCTGTGGGTTTGGAGTGTGGGGTCCTTGGGTTCACTCTGGGAAAGATGTCACCAGAGCTCCCATTTCAGCGGCACACAGGGAGTTTTCCTGGGGAGTTTCTCCACGAGACAGAGACTTTATTTATATTTAAAGGGCAGGTTTATTAGGGAAAGGATAAAACAGTGAAAGACACTTGCATACACACAAGCAGGCAGGAAGAGCTGCCTCAGAAGGGACAGGTTTGCTGAGAGAGGCCTGCATGGTTGCAGGTGGGCAGCCTTGACAGGTCACAGACAGGCAGGAAGCTGCTGCCCTGCAGTGGGAGAGGGTTGGTGAAAAAAGGCATCTACATAGTCACAGGTGGGCAGAGGGATTGCTGCCCTGAGCCTGTGCAGAGATTGCATTGATATAGTCCTCTTCTGTTTGGGAGGGGTCACTCCTTTTGAGCCTCAGTTGGTTGCTAATTTTGGATAACTATTCAGAATCTGAAAGGGACTGATTTTCCACAATGGGCTCAATCTCCATATCTTTACCTTTGGGGTCTGTTGGGCTCAATCTCCTTATCTTTACCTTTGGATGCACCCTCAGATACCTGCTTGGATGTTATGCTTTGTAATCTTGGCATCAGTGCCTAAGGATACTAGTTTCTGCAATTCTGTTGTCTGCACCTAAGGATCTTGGTTTCCATAGCTGTGTCGATGGCTATGCTAATCTCTTCTACCCCCACCTCCTTGTGTGAACCAGGTTTCTGGTCTTGAGGCCCACCTCCTTTTCAGTTTTTTTTTTTTTTTTTCCTATTCTTGTCCTCCATCAATCTCACCCTGTGATCAGAAAAGTTGTATTTGGGAGCATTTTGTT